TGAATGAAAAATGTACATAACACTTTCTGTGAATGGAAAATGTGCAGAACATTTTTTTGTGGGAATGGAAATGTGCATATATGTTTTGTTGATGCGCAGATGCATCTTTAAAAGTGATATTTGTGTAGATATGTTTTTTTTATGTTAATTTGGATGTATTTTATAGTGAAATGTGCAATTAATTATATATGTAATGCACTCTAAAAAATGCCTATATCCTCTTATAAACATAAAGAAGTGCATCTATTAAGATGTCATAAGACATTGAGACATTTTATAAAATGCCTTTAAGTTTGTAAACACAATTCACCATAATGCACGAATTACCCTCCAAACCCGAAAACCATACATCTTTCATCCTCAACTAGCAATAGTTTGATAGTTGAGGGTGAAAGATGTCTGTTTTTTTTAGAGGGGTAATTCTAACTCGTACTCTCCCAATAGTCTAGGGATGTAATTCATAACAAGTACTTAATGTAGTATAGATTTCTCATATCTTTTATAGTTAATGTAGTGATTTAATCATCTAATATTCAATATCAACGAGATATCTTAAATATGCACAACCATCCAAAATAATACAGAATGCACAACCAGTCAATTTCAACGGGAAACAAGGTAGCTTACCTCATGCCTGCAGCTACAACGAAAAAGCAAAGAGAAATAATGAGAAAAATCAAAGAGAAAATGTCTCTAAAACATTATTCTGGTAGTGTTTGTTAGAAAATTTTCTACAAAAATATTGCTTATAGGGATGAACTAAATATTATATATTGAAGTGTGGTAGGTAGGTGTCATACGGTTGATATTCCGTTCCTATAAATTTATCAAACTCAGTCTAGGATACATGCCCGCACAAATGTGTCACCTACATTAATTCTTAATTTTATAATTATTAGTAATATGTTTTTGCTTTGGAACGGATCAGGTCCATATAATTGGGGATTAGTGGGGTGGATGGAATGATGAAAAAGTATTGAATCTTAATATGGTTATGCACACACAAAAGACCGTGGTAGAGATAATAATTCGAATGTTATAATTATATACTCATCTTGCTTGGCACTTAACATCAGAACCAGTTCAAAATACTTAATGTAGTATTATTTCCCATATATTTTGTAGTTAATACTGTGATTTATTTGTTTAATTCAATATCAACGAGATATCATCATTGTGCACAACCATCCAAAAATATTATTGAATGCACAACTATCCATTTCAACAATAACCAAGCTAGCTCACCTCATGCCTATAGCTCTGCTATGAAAAAGCAAAGATAAATAAAGTAAAAAAAGAGACAAATAATACCACAACATCATCTTCCATAGTCTCATCTTTCATAGCCTCATATGTTGAATTGCTAGCCAAATTCTTGCTCATGAATCCAATTCGTTTGTTGATTCATTTGCTCAATCAAGCCCATTTGAACCCCTTTCTCACCATCAATTTGGGTATTTAGATAAAAGTTTCACATTCTTTAAATTGATTTTCGAACGTTCCACATTTGAATTAAAAACTTTTCAATTTTTTAAATTGAAAGTTTCTGGCGCATCAGAGTTTTTGAACAACCGAAGATTTCTATGTCGAATTCCGACTCCTTGACGTTAGCGTGGAAGGGCAAACAAATCGGTCCAAACTTTCCAATTTGTTTGAACAAAATTTAGTTAAATTTGAACAAATATTACCAAAATTCATGAAAAAATAAAAAAATTGAAAAATTTCGGCCGAAATAATATCGTATCGGAGGGGTCTGAAAGGACCGAAATTTCTGAAATTTTGGAAATTTCAGTCCGAAATTTCCAACCCTGGTTCAAAGTACTTAATGTAGTATTAATTTCTCAGTTCTTTAAGAGTTAATGTAATGATTTAATCGTGTAATATTCAATATCAGCAAGATATCTTCATTATGCACAACCATCCAAAATAAAATTGAATACACAACCATTCAATTTCAACAGGAAACAATGTAGCTTACCTCATGCCTGCAGCTGCAAAGAAAAAGCAAAGAGAAATAAATAAAAAAAATGACAAACAATATCATAGCATCATCATCCAAGTCTCATCTTCCATAGTCTCAATCAAATGCATGCTAGTAAAATTCTTTGGTCATGAATCCATTAGTTTGAGCTGAATCCCTTTCTTCATCACCATCAGTCCGCTTCTGCCGCTGCACAAACTCTCATCATATTCCATTGAAATCGTTTGTCCATATCCTAGTCCATGGCGTGCGTGAGCGTGAGGTCACTGCTGGACTGGAGCTCTGGCCTCCCAAGGGAGCTCCTCGAGATCATCGCCAAGAAGTTGATCTCAAGAGATCTAGTAAGATGTCATAAGACATAGAGACATTTTATAAAATGCCTTTTCATTTGTAGACACAATTCACAATAATGCACAAATTGCCCTCCAAACCCGAAAACTAAACATCTTTCACCCTCAACTATCAATAGCTGAAGGTGAAAGATGTCTGGTTTTTGGGTTTAGCGGGGTAATTCTAATTCGCACTCACCCAATAGTTTAGGGATGTAATTCGGACTTTTCGCAAGTACTTAATGTAGTATAGATTTCTCATATATTTTATAGTTAATGTAGCGATTTAATAATCTAATATTCAACATCAACGAGATATCTTAATTATACACAACCATCCAAAATAATACTGAATGCACAACCATTCAATTTCAACGGGAATCAAGGTAGCGTACCTCACGCTGGCAGCTGCAACAAAAAATCAAAGAGAAATAATGAGAAAAATCAAAGAGAAAATGTCTGTAAAACATTTTTCTTGTAGTGTTTGTTAGAAATTTTTCTACACAAATAATTGCTTATAGGGATGAACTAGATATTATATATTATAAAGCTAACTAATAACTTGAAAAATTATCAAAGCAATGCCGATAAAGAAATTTTGTGAAAAAATAATACTTTTAAAGTGTGGTAGGTATCATACGGTTGATATTCCGTTCCTATAAATTTATCAAACTCAGTCTAGGATACATGCCCGCACAAATGTGTCACCTACATTAATTCTTAGTTTTATAATTATTAGTAATATGTTTTTGCTTTGCAATGGATCATGTCCATATAATTGGGGACTAGTGGGGTGGATGGAATGATGAAAAAGTATTGAATCTTAATATGGTTATGCACACACAAAAGACCGTGGTAGAGATAATAATTCTAGAATGTTATAATTATATACTCATCTTGCTTGGCACCTAACATCAGAACCAGTTCAAAATACTTAATGTAGTATTATTTCCCATATATTTTGTAGTTAATACTGTGATTTATTTGTTTAATTCAACATCAACGAGATATCATCATTGTGCACAACCATCCAAAAATATTATTGAATGCACAACTATCCATTTCAACGAGAACCAAGCTAGCTCACCTCATGCCTGTAGCTCTGCTACGAAAAAACAAAGATAAATAAAGAGAAAAAAGAGATAAATAATACCACAACATCATCTTCTGTAGTCTCATCTTTCATAGCCTCATACGTCTAGCCAAATTCTTGCTCATGAATCCGATTCGTTTGTTGATTCATTCGCTCAATCAATCTCATTTGAACCCCTTTCTTCTCTATCAATTTGGGTATTTAGATAAAAGTTTCATATTTTCTTCAAATTGATTTTTGAATGTTTCACATTCGAGTTAGAAACTTTGTAGTTTTGGGGATAAATCAGGATAAATGATGGTCCAGATCAGATTCGTCTTCAAAAGTTGTTTTTTTTTTGACGGAATGCGTAAATAGCTAGCGCAGTTATGCCAATTTGCCAATGCCATCCATCTGTCCTATACCACTGCATCCATATATTTAAGCCACACTAAAGTAGTACATATTTTGTTTGGAAAAAATATATTTTACTATTAAATTTAAATTTTAGAAGTCATGTTGATTAGGTATTTCAGAAAATAACACATTAATTCATAACATAGGGAAGCGAGGTCTAGCCTTTGTATATCTTCTCCATATGTATTAATTCATAGGCAGGTGTAACAAATTACGTTAAAATGAACCAATCGGAAGGAGGGTTATCTTGATGGTATAAAAAACATATTTATTAGTAATAATATTTTTTTTGGATTTGTTAAAGAACAGTCACTAAGATTGAATTAAAAAAATAAAAAAACACCTTAGTTTTAATATACTGTGGTTTGATAGACAAGTTTTCTAAACAAATAATTGCTTGGATGAATTAACTAATAACTTGAAAAATTATCTAAACAATGTCGATAAACAAAAATTGTAAAAAAGAAATACTTTTAAAGCGTGGCAGGTGCCATACAGTTGATATTTTGCCCGTATAAATTTATCGAACTCGTTCTACAATACATACCTACACAAATGCACGGGTTACCTTTATAGTCTTATAGTTACTAATAATATTACCGTGCTTTACAACGGATCAGGTGTATATAATTAGGGATTGACTCGATTGGTGGATTGAGGAGAAAGTCTTACAGTGGTTATGCACCCACAAAGGAATGCACGACCTCCTACTCATGTTTAGAAAGGGATGGAAAAGAAACGACTGCGGCAGTGAACTTAATTATATACTCATCTTGCTTGCCACTTGACGTCAGAATCAGTTTAAAGTACTTAATGTAATATTAATTTCTCATATCTTTCATACTTAATGCAATGATTTAATCGTGCAATATTCAATATCAGTGAGATATCTTCATTATGAACAACCATCCAAAATAATATTGAATGCACAATTTCAACGGAGGTAGCTTACCTCATGCCTGCAGCTGCAATGAAAAAGCAAAGAGAAACACAGAAAAACAATGACAAATAATCTCATATATAGCATCATCTTCCAAGTCTCATCTTCCATAGTCTCAATCAAATGCATGCTAGCCAAATTCTTTGGTCATGAATCCATTTGTTGATTCATTTGTTTGAGCTCAGCTGAATCCCTTTCTTCACCATCAATCCCCTTCTCACCATCTTCCATTGAAATCGTTGTTTGTCCATATCCTTGTCCATGGCGTGCGTGAGGTCACCGCTGGACTGGAGCTCTGGCCTCCCAAGGGAGCTCCTCGAGATCATCGCCAAGAAGCTGCCGTCCGGCCATGACGCCGCCTCCTTCCGCTCCGTCTGCTCGCCGTGGCGCGCCGCGCTGCCGTTCGCGAGGTTCGCGCCGCTCCTGATGCTCCCGTTTGATCCCACTCCCACCTCGCCGTCGCCGCCGGAGGAGAAGACCGTCTCGTTCTACAGCTTGGTGGAGGAGAAGACCGTCTCCTTGCCTCTCCCGGAGCTCCACGGCAAGGTCGTCGTCGGCGCGTCGCGCGGGTGGCTGGCGCTCGTGGACGAGGCCGCCGCCGTGTCGCTGCTCAACCCGTTCACGGGCAGCCGCGTCGCGCTCCCGCCGGCCGACCAGCGCGTCGCCGCGGCGTCGTCGAGAAGCGTGGAGATGGTCGGCGTCGGGAACGACGGCGGTGGCCGGTGGGTACTCAGGTGTTCGTCCGGCGACGTCAGCCCCGTCACGCTGGACAAGATGAGGGAAGTGTTCTTCAGTGAGATCGTGCTCTCCACGACGCCCGGCGGCGACGGGTGCGCGGCCATGGCCGTGCTCGCGGACTCGTCGGAGGTCGCGTTCTGCCGGGTCGGTGACACGGCATGGACGCTGATCGAGACGAACGTGGAATGCTGCGTTAGCGCCATCGTCCACTGCCATGGTAGCTTCCTCGCCATCGGCTGCCTCGGCGAGGTCTCCATCATCAACATCGCCGGCGACAACGACGCGACGCCGTCTCCGGCGAGGCCAGTGTCGTCGCTGCCAGAGCCTGCGCAGATGTGCCACCGCAGCTACCTGGAGGTGAACGGCGAGCTCCACCTCGTCGGCGTCGCTATACGAGCCTTCCACGGCGAGTGGCCCTTCGGTCACCACGCCGTGGTCTACAAGTGCGACCTCGCCGCCGGCGAAACGCCGGTGTGGTCCATGGTTACCGACGCCGGCGACATGGCAATGTTCATGTCCAAGAATTTCAATTCGGGCTTTGGTGGTGCAAGTGTCTCCAAGATCAAGAGCAACTGTATCTACTTATCTGAGCCTACATATGGCAGTGATCATTCTCCAGAATTGGTTGATATTTCTACTGGCATGTCAGAGAAGATAGCTTGCCCAACCATGAAGGGTTCAGAGGCTCTATGCTGGATTCGACCCAATCTCTGGACATGAGGTACGTGACTTGTTTTTCCTTATATTTTGTTCTTTATCCAAAGTTGTTGTTTTTAGTGCCTAGGTTTCTATGTGAGCGTTATCGAATGTGGACATGTTTGGTTTATGTCACCAATGGACAGCCTAATGAAAATAAGTTGGATCTTTCATTTCTGACGTATGAGCGGTGTGCCCGATTCAGAATACAATACGTAGATGTTTGAGTCATATCATACTTATTGTGAATATGTATGGCGGCATTTATGCGGTCCATAAAGATGTCGACTTATTGACCTAGTAACGTCGTTTTTCTCTCCGTTATAGTATTTTTCTTTGTGCATAATTTTATTTTGTTAATGCTGAACTAAGATGGTAGGCCTTTAGAATTAATCAATTTATCTCCTTACACACATGACATGAGTAGTAATCGATTTTGGTGCTATAAAAAATGGCACGATAAGAATTGCCCCCATAGAATGGACATTTTGTGAGAAACTGAGCAAAGCCACTTTTGCGGTTGTGTTGATGAGCACAAGTCAGAATACACCAAACAACCCCCCAAAAAGAGAGAAAAGACAAAAAGAATACACTAATCAATGCAGTTACCCTGACACCCTGTTCATGTAGTTTGTGGTCAACCATGGACATCACACTCTGATACTGGTGTGCATTAATCATCTCTTCTTGTCTATAAGAATCCTTCTCATCAAAATTTTTATGTGGCTAACTTTTTTGATGATTATGTGTACAGGTGACAAATGTTGAAATAGTAAAAGATTTATCAAAAGACAAGCAACTCCTAGTCTGAGCTAGTATCATGCATGCAATACAAGGGTTGGAGATCATCGCTAGCTGCTCCTATTAAGGTTCAGTTTGGAGGGGGGCCAGTTTTGCTTAATCTTATACTCTATTTCTTAATCCTTTTCAATAAACCAGACGTTTCCCTTATATCTAGTGGGCGAAAGCCAAAACATCCTCTCTTTTTTTCCCATTATATTTGGTCTGAAATGCAGTTGTTTTTCCATTGTGTTGTGCGAATTAAGCATTGATGCACCTTATATATGCTAAAGGGCAGGCCGAAATATGAACTATTTTATATATATTTAAGAGCTCATTTTGCATGACAGGATTTGTTATTTACAAGCTAGCTCTCGGCAGCCCTTTTATTCTCGCTTTGGTCCGAAATGCATTATATTTGTATTTCAAATATATATATTGGGATAAATATATTGATGCGCCCTTGTGAAAGGACGACGGAAAATGTAAAAATGTTTTGGAGGGCACTAGCAAAAACTTATTTTTATAGGACAGAATAACACGCAGTAGTAAAACTTATTTTTATATTGTTCGTGTATGTTTTAGTTTCTGAACCACATGCACATCGCACATTTCTTGTTGTCTATAAGAATTATTATCATCAACAATTTTTTATGTAGCTTTGGGGTTGATGATTATGTGTATAGGTGAAAAATGTTGAAATCATAACGAAAGATCAGAAGAGAATTGAAGCAACTCCCAGTCTGAGACTAGTTAGCGTGCCAAGCCCAATAAAAGTCACAGGATAATATCATTCAATATGAGGGGTTAGAGATCATCGCTGCTTCTACTCAGCTCAGTTTTTAGGGGCCACTTCTGCTTAATCGTACGTCTTAATCCTTCTCAATAAACCAGACGTTTATTTTCCCTATATATCTTCGTGAGAAGATCTGACGTGCGAAATTAAGCCAAAACCAACATCGTCCTTTTCCCAGAGGACTTTGCAAGCATGAAATTTCATTATGTTTATCTGAAATGCAGTTTATTTTTCCATTGGGTTGTGCTAATTAAATATTGATGCACCTTACAAATCCTTCTTCTTCCTTGATTTGTTTCAAATTATCAGACGTTTTGGGTTTTAAATAGATTCATGTATGGATCATATATGAGCTTCATATATATGTCCAAATTTATATGAATGTTAGTAGTATATACAGATGAGTGATGCATGAATATAGCAAAACGTATTATAATGTGGAACAGAGAAAGAGGGAGTAAAGGACAGGCCGAAATATGGACTGTTTTGTATGTATCAAGAGCTCATTTTGCATGACAGGATTTGTCATTTGCAAGCAAGCTAGCTCTGCAGCCTTCCTTATTCTGTTTGGTGAGAAGTGCATTTGTATTCCAAATATGTTGAGATAAATATATTGATGCTCTGTTGCAAAAGGACAACGTGAAATATAAATATGTTTTACAGGGACACTAGCAATAACTTATTTTACAAGACAGGAAATTAAAGATCACACGCAATATAAATATATACTACTCTCTTAATTCATTTGTCACTTCGGAGACATAGTGCCAGTTATGTGTGATGATTAAGAAGGCCCTAACTAGCATATGCATGACAATTATCAAAAAATATGATTGATCACTAAATGCGAACCTAAATAGGAAAAAACAAAAAAGAAGTATATGGGCCCACATATAAGTGAGCAGTATTTCACTTGCAGTACTGCAGACAACTTGCGTCCTCAAGTGTGGCCATGTTTTGGTTTATGTTTATTAGCTAATAACCTGCTCAAACAGTTAGACATGTTGTTTGGAGTTCTTGTGTGCGATGTAAATACTAACGTGAGCAGTCTGCAAATAGAGAACATAGGTCAATGCATGCTTCCAGAAAGAATCGACATTTCTGCGTTCAATCTACTATTGCCCTAGGCATAGTCTGATTGTTTTCTATTGTTTTTTTTCTATTTAGACTCATGTTTAGGCTTTTAAAAAGCTGGACTTCTTGAGGTGGTGAGAATTCGAATTTAAATTTCAATTGATCCCCTTACATTCATTGGTGTGAACAAAATTATCTGCTTTAGGATCATCATGCTTGCATATATAAGGGGGCTTATTTATACTTGTAACCGAATGTACAGCTTCAATTATGGTGGTAGCGTGTAATTAAAGGCAAATACAGAATTTACAAATTTAAAGTTACTTTGAACATTATGATGCCGTGATTACATCTGGCTAGTAACTGAGTTCAGCCCTTACATCAGAACACACCAACCAGGTCACCCAAATGCATATTCCGCCTTTTTAATTTTGAGAATTTTTACTGACAGGTACCAATAGGTCCTAATTATTTTTAATAAATTTTGGAACCCCCTAATACGGGAGATACCGAGATGTACCCAGTTTTACATTCAAAACTGGGGTTACTCCTGTACCTCCTCCACTCCTCGAGAACCGTGAAATCACTATTAATTTTGTTGTCAATCAGGCATACCACGTCCTAACACGTGCCCGTTCTTCATGTCAAGAAGTGTCATTATAATTATTTATGCCGATTAATATTGTTGATTGTGTAAAGTTCTGAACAATCGTGAAGCATTGAAAGATCAGAAAATACCCAGTTCTTAGTCTGAGAAAGTGTATAGTCAAATCAAGGTCGAAGGCTGGTGTCATGCAATATGATGTGTTAGATATTGCCGTTTCTTCATCTAAGGTTCAGTCATTATGTTTAATATCATACATTTCAAATCACGTAAAATAACACTATAAAAAACCCTAATGGGAAACGTCATAATAGGTGCTAGTACATTAAAAAAACCAACACCTATGAGACTTTCCTCGTCTTTCTATGTGCCTACAAATAAAAACCGACATCTTTAACTACTCATTGGTGTTGGTCCATAAAAAATTGACACCAATAGACCCCTAAGTTGTAGGTGTCAGTTGTTATAATAAAGCAGTAAATATAGACATCACATAGGTGCTAGTTTTTTTAAATAAATCGGCACTTACAAGTGCGATTCAATAGTACCGGTTTTCATATATGGTCTTCATATATATATGCAGGTTATCAATTAAATCCGGCACCTATGATAACGCTACTCATATATATTTGTTTTATACCTAACTTTTTCATATGAAGTTGGATGAAAAATACGCTTTATGTCAAATTTGTATATCTCGATGAGATCTACAACTTAGAACTTTGTTGTTGATGATATTTGTTTGATTTGAGGTCGTTTGGATGTTCGATCTACTTGGATAAGTGAATTTTTTATATTTCTAAATGATTTCGAATATAGACAAATCTATATAAAAGTTGTAGATATGGACGAGATCTACAGATTTGCAGTTGATAAAATTTTCATTTGAGCTCATATATGGTGTTAAATATGGATTATAAGTTTTAGATGAGAGTAGTATCAAAAGAATTATTGCTTCCTAGACAAGTGTTTCTAGGTGTGATAGTAAGAGATAATAGGTAGACAGAGAGGTCGAGGGTTCGAAGCTTTAACCAAAAAACCACGTGCGTATGAAATGGTGTGAAAATCTTGTGAGTTGTTGGAAACAGAGTGGGACCATGTATAGGTGGCAATTTTTTTCTATTTTTGTCACACCCATAAAAATAAAAAATGGGTCCACCCTATTGGTGCTGATTCTAAATTAGAGCTAGCACCTATGAGGGTGTTATTGGTGCTGGTTTTAGCACCGGCACCAATAAGGCACTTCATTAGTGTCGCTTGACAGGTGCCGGATTTCCCGACCGACTCCAATGACGCTTTATGGGGTAGTGTAAGTACCAAAACTTTTCCTTTAATTTATATCTTCCAGAAACATCCCTAATGAATTTAGTTATGACAGCTTCCTCTCAGAAGCCTGTGACTTTAGTTATGGCTTACAAGTAGGGACAACTAATTCACATGGATATAGTTGGTCCTGAAAGATTTCAGTCAGTTGAGAGGAAATGTTATGTTCTAGTGATTGTTAATGATTTCTCTCAATACTCTTGGGTTTAGTTTCTTGAATCAATGGAAGAGACTTTCAGTTTCTTTCTAAATCTATCTCCTCTTTTGGATTTGGAGTTGCTTGTTATAGTGCGCAGGTCGGCCCACCAGTCATAGACAACCCAGGTCACACCGGCCTTGCTCCATCCTAGTCCTAATCGGAGCCACTACTTTAGGTCTTAGAGGCATATACAACCTAAAAGACTAGTCTGATATGTAAGAACTATCCTCGCCTTTTAAGTCGTGCTC